GTCGGTCGGGGTAGTCCGGGGGTGGCGTAGGTAGCCGAGGTTCGCCGACTCCGGTCGAGGCCGGTCGGCCCTCGGGTCGAGGTGGTGTGGGGTGTAGATTTGTTAGTCGCACGCCGGTCGTTGAATGGAGCGGGTGTGGAGACGCGTACAAGGCGCCGGGCGTCGCGGTGCAGCAGCCCGTTGTGGCTGTCCTGTGCAGCCTTGTCAGCTGCACGTGGACCAACGCGCGAAACGCGGCGGCGGCGGCCGGAAATCTCGCGGCGGACCGCAGACGATCGTGTGCGGTTGTCAGGTGCAGCCGTGCCCGGTTCACCCGGTTCTGATTAGGGTTCGTCGCACTCGGCCCGCGGTTACCAACTGCGACTGTCCACCCGAATCGCAGCCCTGTCCGCACGTACCGCCGCGTACGTCGGCCGTGCGTCGAGTCCGAAGGTAAATAAAACGACTCTCGCCTCCAGCCACACCGACACCCTCCTCTCCGACCCGCCGGCCAAGTCCGTTGCTCCTCTTTTTTCCTCTGGAACCGCGCGACACCCCTGTGCCCAGCACGCGCACGCTGCGAACCATTCTCCGTCGAAGGGGTGGAAGGCACGAAGGTCACGTTAACGACGTGTTGATCGTATTTACGAAGTCGCGGACCCTCGGACGACAGGGGCACCCGGCTGTTAACCCGCCGCCTTTCGACTGGCATACGGGGTTAAGGGTTGTCACGCCGGGCAACGCAACGGTTGCGTGCGATCGTCGCTCGATATGCCGGAAAGCTTTCGCGTGATTCTATTATCCGAGATTAGCACCGGTTTATCGACTAACGGAGAAACGGCCGGCCGAAGATCGGTTTCCCATTGGGCACCTGAGTTCTACAGGTAGCATCGTGAATGGACGTGCCGTGATCCGTTGTCGGTTTCGTCTGTGGGGTTTTGTTGGATCTGAGTTGCAAAGAGTGAAGAGGGGAGCTTTGAGTTTGGCCTGTTTATCCAATCGTGATATCCTTGGGATGATGGTATTACTGGAAAAATGAGTTCTGCTTGTTGGGAGATGTTTTTCGAGTATAAGAGTTCGTGTAGGGGAAGATTCGATTAGAGGATTTGAGGGTGTCTGCACTTTGCACCGTGCCTGTCCACTGTTCGATATTTCTACTTGCACCAAATATTGATCACGGTACGCTGTTACCGGTGTTTTATCCGTTTCATCTTCGAGTATCGATCAAATTTGTTACGAAGGATGGATGTATCGCTGGAATTATTTAAAATACTGATATCAGTGGAAGCAACCAGCGATGATCGGACACGCGAGCCAAGTGGTGCTCAAATGCACTTGTTTCTGATAAATTGTCGGGGTCGATTTATTCCAAAGCGAAGTCTCGTATGGAAGTTTTTATTTTACGTTTTTGGTTTATCCTGTCTCTCCTAAATTTACTATAGTTTCAGTAAGTCTATCTATTCTCAACATTTCTCCTCGAAATGTGAAAATCATATCGGTGGTTTTCATAAAGTGTTAATACTTCGGAAGATCGTTGTTGAAGCTTGGAACTGCTCAGATTCTGCAGATGCTGATAATGTTTCAAACTTGTGTATTTTACACGAGAAGATTCTGTAACATCTAACTTGGAAACTGATGTGAAACTGCTGACTAGTAGTGTGCTTGTGGCTTCGTTATAATGATTCCTTTGCGAGAGGTGTTGTGAAGTTAGGGGTTAACGGCATGCCCTGGCAGCGTAGTGGAATAACAACAGATAAGTCTGACGATAAGATCTTAATGTACAAGTGCAAGGAGAATGTATCAGGCAATTATTTTTAATGAGATTTAATGGCATCGGCATTGAAGCATATTAGATGTTGTTGGACTTTGAGCGAGGGATATTAAACTGCAATTATACTGCGATAATAAAGTAATGCCTTTAAATTTGCATGAAATACCAAGTGGTCAAAGTAAAATATCAGTAACTTTTCATTTTTAACTATTTAAATCATTTAATTGACCTAAAACGGTAACGTGATTCGCGTTCTGATTTTTGCTCTTTAAATAATCGAGAAAGGTAGAATATTAAACAAATTATTTTTACATGGTAGCAAAAAATGTTCAAAAAAGTAATTACCACAGAGATTTCAAATATTGAACGAAATTTAATTCAAGGCTGGCATCCGTGAATCAGAAAAACCGGTTTTTGCGAAGCAGATAATTAATGTTTGCAGTATCGTGTCGAAAACGAAATGTATAATTCCACATTTAAAATGGAGTCAAATTCATTTCATTTTAAATTACTAATTTCAAACATTCCATTCGATACGTTCGTAGAACAGAATTCCACGATGCTCGTTCGTTAATATATTTTTAAGTAAATACAAATTGCGCTTGCAACATAAAACGTCAGTGATTAATTTCACGGTGTACGTATGCAAACATCGTTTAGTTGCAAAGTATCTTTCGAGCAACATGAGAAGTGCAGTATATTAAAATATTTACATTGAATTTGCCTTTGCAGTGTACGCAACTAAACGTGGGCCAGTATTTTCGAACACATGTACATGCCACGTTCGTGCTTCGCAATTTATCAAATTCAACGTTAAACACACTTCACGATCTCGTACGATTTATATTAAATCATTCCTCCTAATGGCTCCGCGAGGGAAACGTATTTGATTTTGACACTCGACACCCTTTCACGGAGAGTCATTCGAAAATGTCACGCACTTCGAAAAGAAACCAAGAATTCACTCCCAATTCCAACTTTTTTTAAAGCAATGCACGTTTTTACAATTTCCCTCGATGGCAATGTCGTTTAATCAAACGACGGAGAATATTATGTTTCAGTATTTTATTATGTTGTTAGGTAGCACCAGCGAGAAATTCACAGTCATTACCGTGCCCTATTTTCCTCTCGTTTTACGTTCTACTTTGTAGTCGAAGTCTCAAACGTTATGACCGCTTAAGTATATAGCGTTGAAATGAGAACGCGTTTGTTATACATTATTAGACTAAGTTAAATACTACAGTGTCGGTTTACAGAAGTTTACTAATAACAATACGCGGCTAGACTCGGTACACCGACAAATATGAAAGCGCAGTAAAGTAAACCCGCAGAAAGAAAAATTAAGGAAAACGCTCTCAAAGCGATGAAACGCGGATGATGCATATTTAAGTCAAACTGTACCATCGAAATCCCGAATCCTTTGATGTTCTTACGAGTCAAAACGTAGAATAGACAGCAAAGGGTGCGTACAAACCTCACAAAGTGAAACGAGTCGGATGCAGATGGATCGCAGCAGACGTGAATAGAATCCGGCGGGTGTATGATGTTTCTGATTAAGGCAAGAACCGATAGCATTCTGTGGAAGTTATCTAGACCAAGATGGGGCAACTTAGAGACTGCTGCTGGCGACAGAAAGCATTGAGTTCCGGCAGGATTCGCCGGCATAGAGCGCAGCCAGATGTAGCATTAGCTTGGCCAAAATGTCTTGCTTTTACCTTTTGTTACGTTTTGTTACGTTTATGTTAGGATAAGTCCGGCAGAGATGGCCCACTTTTTTTAATAGAACTATGACATCATAAGTGCCATTAATATCCGATAGAAAAAAGTGTAGTTGTAAAGAATAGTTAAATAAAGAATAAAGAGATAAAATTAAATAGTTAACACGTTTACTTAATTATTTACGTTACGGAAAATTTGTATTTGAAATCAATTATCTTCCAAGTCATAATTATTTTCTTGTAATTTAAAAGCTCCGGTCATCGGTGACCGTGGCAGTCAAAGTGATAAATAAAAAAATGAAAGATAAAAAGAAAGTTAAAAAAACTGCGCAAGATTCAGTGTACCATTAAAAGCAACTGAAAATATAGATGTTTGAAAATCTCATCAGGAATTACCCTATAATGTACAAATAAATACTGCAAATAAGGATTCCTAAGGCAATAGGAAAGTATACAAAGCATAGTTCAATAAAGCTGAATTCAACGAAGTGAAATTGTCCTTCAGCCGTTTGAATGCCAAGCGGCGTGATCGCGCTTCACCGTTGCATTATCTAAAAGTGCCATATGGATTCATAGGATTAAATCGAATATATTTATTTGTTTCCCTTCTAATCATTTATTTTCATCTTCTTTATTACCTACTTAGAAATAGAGAAACAGATCACAATTTTTTTACGTGAAAATAGAAAAGTTAATCAGTTTCTAAGCTGAAACGAAAGAAGCGCGATCGCGCCGCTCGGCAATTGTCGACAGGATTTTTGCGAAGACCCGTACCACTCAAACGGGTT